TTAACTGTGCTGTTCCTTTGGTCTATTTATTCTTGCACTAGTACCACATTATTAATTACTGTAACTTTATAGTAAGTGTTCATATCTTAGACAAGTCTGGTCCCCTTGTTTTTCTTTGGTAAGAGTGTCTTGGCTTTTCTTTGCATTTCCTTATCCCTTTTAATTCATCTTAGGGTGAATTAAAAGGGATAAGGAAACTTAACTCATCCTAGAGTGTAGCTTTAACTTGATAGTTTAACTTGATAGTTCATGCTAGCATGTAGCACTTTAAATTACAGCGTAACACTTGTGCCCCCACTCAGGAGTATGCAGTTGCATCTTAGAGAGATCACTGTTGCCTGTAGCCAAGTAGCCTCTGAGCAACTGTGGACCAGATGGGATGAGATGGATGAGATAAATCTGGTGTGAGAAGCTAATGAAAGCCAAGCAATTGACACCAAATTTCACCCTCCTGAATTTAACATCATTCCCAGGGAGGAGATGGAACCCAACTATTGTGAACCCAATAATGTCTGTCTTGTTCACTATTACATTGCTGTTCCTAGTATATAATAAGCATTTAATTAATATTTGCAAATGAGTTTACATACGTCTTAATACAGCATATATTATATGCTTCTCCGATGACATTTATGTGGCTCTGAATTTCACTATTTAACTTAGATGCTAGGATGTTTAAAGCTAATTTTTCCCCAGCTTTATTGAGGTATAATTAAAAATCAAACTAAATTTTTAATGGCCTGTGACATTTTGCCATTTCATAGAGTTGCCTGTCTGTTTCAGTTTAAAGTCTTATATGTATCACCTCAAGTCTTTTAGGAAATAAGTGATAGAGATTTTTTTTTTTTAATGTTGAAACAAGCAATTACCTGTCAGTGATTCTCAAAGTTTGTTGACTTTGTACATTAAATGTGGAATTAACTTGCAAGTTCCTTAGCACACTAAGTTCATGTGTAAAGTTCAAGATCATATCTAGATTTTCATATTTCAAAGTACTCAATATTTTAGTAGAGAAACTGCCAAGTTATCCTGTGTTTTTCCATTTCGATTTTACTTTCCTTCTTGAAAAGATGAATACAGTTGATGAAACTTATATAAATAAAGCACATGTTGAGTAGTTTTCTGCCCTAAGTGTTAAAATTCTATGTTTTTTAATGCAGATGTGGAATTAGAAGAAGCTATTAGAAGAAGTCTTGAGGAAATGTAATTAAAGATATTACCACACAACATCAAGTGGCCTTGAAGAGACTCAGATAATGAATTCTTGAGTTTGTTTTCTAAAGGAGACCAGAAATCCACTATTACAAATGTATTTGAAAACATGTTTTTGCTTTCATGTGTTCAAAATCTGATCTTTGTTTTGTATTTTTGTGCTAAATGTGCAAAAATGTACAGAAGGAATAGAATACATGTTCATGCAAATATAAATCATGTATTCTAATATAGGTATAACAGTTTCCCAGTTAACTTTGAATTTACATATTTAGAGTTAAAGGATTTAAAAAAAGGAAAGCTCTTGATAGCTGTTTCCCAAATAGCATTGGTTCTTTTTATTTGTGCTATACAAATGATTCTAGTTTATTTTTTTAGGATTGAAAATGATAGTTAAAAAGATGATATAGGTCAAGTTTTCCATAAATTCTCCTTCTCATGTGGAACTATTATATAATACCTTTGAGATCTTTATTAGAAGAGGGTAAGGAAAACTATCATAGAAACATTTAAAATTTTATCAGCAGTGTTCTTTGTGGGTGCCATGCAGATGTATATTATTGCTTTGATTAGAGCAGCACATTGCTAAAATAAAAAATAAACCTTAATTTTTAAGAAATAATTTAAATGAAACAATTTCCATTCCTTTTACCTGCTTAGACTTTTATGTGACTTGTATGAGCTCCTGTTTAAACGGAATGGTGTCAGATATTCGCATAAAATTATTTTTCATAATATTTGTCCTTTTTTATATATTTGTGTAAAGATAATATTCTTCAAGAAATAATGTTGAAAGCCTGCTCAGGAATAATCTTCCTTAACTATTTAAAATTTTTATTTCATATGGAGTATCTTCAGTTTAGTTATTCACTGAATTCTCAGTTTCCTTCATTTGGTGTTACATATTTAATTTTTAAATATTGAGGCCCCATTGTGAGTAATAAAAAATACTACATAAGTAGAAGACTAAGAAGGGCTTGTCATATTATCTTTATGTATATGCTTCATGTTATTTGACCAGAAATGTCTTATCTCTAAGAATTTTGAGCAGTAATTATTTACCAAACTTAAAAACATTTCTATAAATATAAAGCTTTTCTTTATATTTAAGACAAAAAGATACCATGGCTAGAGTTTTGTTCCTTCTCTGTAACACTGTATATTTTAGTGTGAAATTGAATTTTTTATTCTTACAGTCTTCAGTACACAATTTGTGTTTTTAATTTCTTAATATGTCACTTCTGTTTCTCCCTGCTTGCATTTTTTAAAAAAAATAGACATTGTTGCTTCAGAATTTTTCAATGATCTTTCCAAAATGACCACATTGTGCTTTTTAATTTGTATGTTTAAGTGGTCAAGCAAGGCTCTAGGAGGTAGTCACGGAGCTGGACCTTAAACACATCTGCAGAAGCTCACAATACTGAGGAGCAAAAGGGGCATCCCAGAAAGATGAGTGGTTAAGCAGATTTGGGACAGGGCAAGAGGAAACAGCACCTTGTTGCCAGAGATTGTATATAGAGGTTTGATGGACACTGATGCTCTATTAAGAAGCTTTTGTAGTGTGTGTGGTAGAGAATAATTATGGCTTTTGATATGACAGGAAAGGGATATTTCATCATGACTCTTAAGAAAAGGTAACTGGGTTGTTTAATGTTTTAATTGATAATTGTCACTGATTGTATTTCTACTTGTTAAATAATTAAAAATCATCTTAAAATTCATACTTTGACCTTAATTTAGACACAAGGAGATGTAGTCTCTGTGTAACATTAGAGAAAATTATACGAATTATCATCAAAAGTAAATGCTTCTAAGATTGACAAAGATGCTTATCTTTTCATTACATCATTCACTTATTAATTCATTCAATCACAAAATATTTATTGAGTACCCACCATGTGCCAGCAGTTGTTCTAAGAACTTGGAATATACCGGTAAGCAAAACAAAGCCCTTACCCCTCTGTGGAGCACACACTGGTGGAGAAGGAGGGGTTGTACAATGTTAGTAAGCAAGTAAATGAAACTGCGTATCTGATGGCAATACGTGTACCAAAGGAAAATAAAGAAGGGAAGGGAATACATAGTGCAGGGACAGGGAGTTGAGGGGAGGCTTGCTATTTTTAATAGGGTGATGAGGAAAGATCTCACTGATAAGTAAACTTAAGCAAAGACCTGAAGAAGGGAGGGAGTGAAGATGAAAATACATATAGGGAAGAGAGTTCCAGGTGGAAGAGGGGAAGGTGCAGACAGGAGCTTAGTACATTCAAGGAAAAGCAGGAAGGCCAGTATGGCTGAAGCAGGATGAGCTAGGAGAGTAATACAAAATGAACTCCTTGAGGTTTTTCTAATGACCTTGGCTTTTACTCTGAGGTGAGGAGCCATTGAGGGTTTCTGAGAATAAATGGTATGATATCCCTTATTTAGGATTGCTGTAATTGCTGCAGTCAGATAATATGTACATGAGAGACAAGAGTAGAAGCAGGGAGACCAGAGAGGAAGTTATTGTAGTACTCCAAGTGCAATCTTACCAGGTAGCTTGAACCAGAATGGTGGGGTATAATTGGGAAGAATCTAGGTATATTCTGAAGGAAAAATTGATGGGATTTACTAACAGGCTGGATCTAGGTAGGATATGAGAGAGTTCAGGATGATTCCAAAGTCACTTGATAGGCTTTCAGACCACTCACAAGATGTGTTTTGATTTCGTTTGTGTCGTGACAGAGCACTTTTAATAAGGTCAAATAATCCCCTACCCCAGTAGTTAATTAGGATTTAGAATGAGTTCAGAGGGAATTGGGATCCAGCCTTTAGGGCTTCAGCTCTGTTCAAGTATTTAAACTGCTTTGATCTCTGATTAAAGGTGGTGGTTCAACTTTAACCTATTATTATCTATCATTTTCTGTGCCCTGTACATTTTCATCCTTGCAATGAGAGGCATAGAGCTATCAGCCTCACTTTTTAAGCAGTCCAATCTTTATACTCTCAGCTCTACTCCATCTTTTACCGACGACAGCTCATGCCTAACCTAGAGGCCTACTGCATCTTTTTGTTAACAAGATTTTTAAAAGTTGAAGACTTCTTAATACCAATTATTTCACTTAGAAGTATTACCATTATTATTTTTTGAGACAAGGTCTCTCTCTGTTACCCAGGCTGGTGTGCAGCAGTTGGCAAGATCTCGGCTCACTTAACAGGCATAATTTTAATAGCAAAAAATTGAAAACCCCTTCATTAAGCCGGGTGTGTAATCCCAGCATTTTGGGAGGCTGAGGTGAGTGGACCGCTTGAACTCAGGAGGTCAGGGCTGCAGTAAGTCGTGAATTTGAGACCTAGTCTCAAATTCAAAAGAAAATTAGAATGGTAAAAATGAAGTATATTCACCTTGCTTCCCACATCTAGCTAGACAAGGAAAGATGGAATAGCTTTTTCTTTTTTACTTCAAAGCTTCAGTTGCTGTAGGTGCTTTCATTACTCTCATCTCAGGAAAGAGTGTAACAAGAAGGTCAGGTGAGTGTAGGCTGCCTAGAAGCTGTACTTACTGCCTTCTGTTTTACAGAAGGCCGTTTTCTCCCCATATCACAGGACTCAATGTCGTTGTTCTTGCTTTGAATTATGGATGCTGGGAGAAACTAAACGAACCCGTCACTGAGCAATACACCCACAGCCCATCGACCGATAGGAACCTTCGCGTGGGGGCAGTTGGTTACTTTTAGTCTGCGCGGAGAGGCGGGGCCTCGCGGGGCGGAGCTGGGGGTGGTCTGTGGGTCCGCGCGGGCTTCGGGTAGTTTCTGGGTCTGAGGAGCTGACGAGTCAAGCGGCAGACCACACTAGGCGCTCCGTGTCTGCGCGCGCCCCTCCTGGCGCCTCAGAGGCTTGCGCTCCCCAGGCCCGAGCCTCTGTGACCCGCGCACCTCTTCCTCCGGCCGCGGCTGCTTCCTCCCAGGCCCGGCATCCCTGAGCCCCGCGGGCGCCGCGCCTGCCCTTGTTTGGCCACGCGGCAGCGGCGGTATTGGCGAGTCCTCTCGGGTTGCCCCCGCGGGCGTCAGAGGGAGGGCGGGCGCCCGCGTAGTGACGGCAGCGCCTGCAGCCCGAGGAGCGCTCCATTCGCCGCCGCCGGAGGGGCCGGTGACCTCTCGGCTGCCCCGCGTCACAGTCTTAGATGGCTCAAGCGAAGATTAACGCTAAAGCCAACGAGGGGCGCTTTTGCCGCTCCTCCTCCATGGCCGACCGCTCCAGCCGCCTGTTGGAGAGCCTGGACCAGCTGGAGCTCAGGTGAGCGGCGGGCTGCCGGGCTGACCGGCGGGCGGTCTCGGGCGTCCCGCTCGCCGTGCGGGCGGTTCGCGGACTGAGGCCATGTGTGGCGGGCCGGGGTCTGGGGCACAGTGAGGCGGCGGCCGCAGAAGTTGCTTGTTGAGATTTGTGGTGGATGAACGTGGTGCAGTTTTGTTTCTCGGATTTTCTCCCCTAGTCCGAGAGAAAACGCATTCGATTTAAGCTAAACCTGTGAGGGCGTTATCGGTGGCCACACTTTGATTGACTTACCTGGGTGTTGGAGAGCGGGGAAAAAAATCAGGGGATATAAAAGTCACGGTGAGATTCCATGCGATTAAGGACTGTGGCAGCCGGGGTCTGCAGAACTTCTAGAACCTTCTGTGTGGCCCCAAATGTTTTTAACTTACTGTTTTCCCGTTATGCGTTTTTAAGGGAGGCAGCAGTTTACAGTGGCCCTCCACGTGAAATTAAGTTTCCCTGCTTCAGAGCACTAAGGAGCAAAAATGGAAAAAAACAAAACCAATCCCGCGATCCATTGAGAGCAGATTAGAGAAGGGTGAGGGGTGGGCGGTAGGTTACTGGGTACTTAGTTCAGTGAAGACGTTGCCGCCTCCCCCGTCTCCCCTAACCTCGCGGGCGAGATTCAGCCGCTCCGTTCCGTTCGTTTCTCCGTATTGGGCACCTCCCTGCATGGAAGATTAAGTGATAGTCACTGGCCTGAAAGCATGAAAAGATAGTTTTCTCCTTTTCTTGCTTAAGATTTTATTAGGTAATATAGGAGTAGACGTGCGTAGAATTTCCAAACAGTTTAATGTTAATAGATTTTTGGAAGGACTTTAACGGTGTATTGAAAAGTTTTATCTACTTCCTGTTGAACGTTTGTCTCAAGTTCCTGTGAAACTTTTGTCAACAGGTGTAGTTAAAAGAAAATCGTGTTAGGCACCTGCAATTCCCTGAAACTACACAAGAGTTGGTTCCCTCGTTTTCTCTAGGTTGTGCATGAGCAGAGGCATATGAGCCAAAAGTTGAGGAAACACTGCATGTGTGTCTTTATCTCCCTCCGTTAGTATACCCAAGCATGAAGTGTCCGTTTGCCGAGAAAATACTTCAATAACCACGGTATCTCTTAACAAGTGAGGCACTGTTATTGTTACTATTGGGAGAAAAGAGCCAGAGAGTGAGAGATTCTCCACTTAAAATAATTTCATGGATGGCAGCAGAGAAACCTCATCCCTACTCCGGGTTCTGGGGTTCCACTCAGAATGAGGCAAGTGGAAGAGACAAGTAATGCTTCCTCATGGATTTTCTATGTACTAGCAAACCTGACCCATTCTACTCCCAGGAAAAGTAGAGCAGAAGCAGAAATTAGTGGCCTCAGTTATTTGAAGTCCCTTCAGCTGATAGTTTCTTCTTAGGGAGCCACGTAACAAGTAACGCACACTTCTCCATATCTTCAGAATGTTAAGGGCATGTTCTTAACCACTTCACTCTGGCTCTTCCTTAGAAAGAAAAGATTTTTTTCCTAAAGGAACAGGCAGGATGCTACTCCACCCTGCCTGCATTCAAGCTGAGTCATTGTCCTCCAACTTGAAATGCCTCACGTGTGGTAGGTACAAAAGCACTCTGAAGTGCTCCTCTTTAAAAGAAAGCCTCAGGTTTTGAGGTTTATTATATTCCAATGTTTGATTAATGTAAAATGAATTCTGATTACTGAACATCAGTGATTAAATTACAACTTGCTTAATATTTGACTTGAGAAAAGTCTGATTAATATGTGGCTAACTGTTCATTTCAAGGACTTTTTTTAGTAATTCTATACTTTTGTAGGCTTTTTTTCTTTTTTAAAAAGTAATACTGGCTGAAAAGGAAGGATTTCTAAAAGTAAGCAAAAGTAGAGAAAAAATGTTAATACTGATCCTATTAAAGTTTTTTTGAAACCAGATGGGCAATGGCACAGAACACTACACTATTAAAAACAAGAATCATGAATACAAGGTCAATTTTTAAAAGAAAATAGGAAACTCATATGTAATTTTGCTCTAATAGTTTGTATGTTGAGTAATAAAGTAGTGTAACTGGGTAGAATAAAACTTTACAGTTTGTACTTAGCTATGTGCACTTAACGTTCCCTAACCACATTGGTCCTGTCAATTGAATAAGAAATTTCTTCCCTATGAAACTCAAAACAGGATTATGCCAAATGTTTTGTAACCTGGAGTATGAACTGACCTACAAACACTAGCCTTTTTTCGTTTTTGGACTGCATTTTGTCTTCTGTATTTCTTCTAAAGGTGATTCCCTTTTCTCCGTTTTTATGATCAATTCTCAATAGAGTCTGAGTTTTGCATTCCTCATTGGCTCAAACCATCTTACTTATTGGTACTTTAAAACAATTATTGTAATTTATATAAAACGCTGTGACAGGTCCTGGCTAATAACTCCCATAACCCTTGTTATCGTCTTATGTTATAATGTTGGGGTGCTTTAGGCCTCAGGGAAAAGAATCTCTCTCTGACCTTCTTTCACCTGCCTTGTCTGATTGTGGGTCAAAAGACCCTCATTCCAGAGAGAGTCCTGCGCCATGACCTGGAGGAAGGAGTTGAGCAGTGAGAGGCCAAGAAGAATCTGAATAGACAGGCCTTGCTAGGTTTCCCCATTTGGTCTGTTAGTGTGAGAGCATACCCTTTTTGTCCAGTCACATTTCTACATGGTTGTCATTCATGCTTATTTAATGAAGCAAGCCTCCATAAGAACCCAAAAGGACGTGGTTTGGAGAGCGTCCAGATAGCTGGACATATGGAAGCTCCTAGAAGGTGGTGTGCCCAGGGATGGTATGGAAGCTTTGTGCCCCTTCCCCTGGACTTCACCTTATACATCTTTTCATCCATAGCCTTTGTATTACCCTTTATAATAAACCAGTAAATGTAAGTAAGTGTTTCCCTGAATTCTGTGAGCTGCTCCAGCAAGTTAAACCTAAAGAGGGGACATGGGAACCCCAATTTGAAGCCAGTGGGTCAGAAGTTCTGGAGGCCTAGACTTGTGACTTTTGGGGGTGGGGGTAGGGTCTTGGGGACTGAGCTTTCAACCTGTGGGGTCTGACACTGTCTCCAGGTATATAGTGTCGGAGCTGAGTTGGAGGATATTTAGGTGGTGTCCATTGCTTGTTGGTGGGGAAAATCCCCACATACTTGCTCACAGTAGTCTTCTATGTTGTTACGGTGTGAGAGCAGAAGAAAAACACAGTGTGAGAGTTTTTTTTAAAACACAAGCTAATGTTTATTCATTTAATGAACACATATTTTATGCCAGGCCCCATGACTTTGTGGAAGTTACTATTATCACCATTCTACAGATAGAGAAATTGAGGCTTAGCAGCTTAAATGACTTGTCCAAAGTCACACAACTAGAGAGTAGTAAACTCCAAATCTGAACCCAGGAAGCCTGGCTTTCCAGGCTCTAATACTTAATGCCTGAATTTTCTTAAAGTTAAGTATGTCACATTTCAAAATGTAGGAATGATATATGGATGAATATATGAGTTTCCTGAAAGAGATAAAAATTCAGTTTAAATCGGCCTTTAATTCAGTGGCTATTGAACACGCACTATGTGCTAGGCATTGTGTAACTCCTAGAAAGCTCAAGATGGTAATGAAGATGTTTGTGGGGTGGGTTTTGGAGACTGGCAGAGGGAAAAATGACAGGACTGGGAGATTGGGTGTCCACGTTATTTCCTACAACTTACCACATCGCAGGTCCTTCCGCCTTCCTGTCAGCCATTTGCTGTGGCTTAACCTGCACCTAGTAGTGAAGAGCTGGGGTCGGGGGTGATAAGGATCATTTGTCTGGCTTTAAAGTTTCATGTTAGGGTGTGCCAGTGTCCCAGGAGTCACAAAACAAGATGGCATCATAGATAATATTGTAGAATAGCCTGTAATTTAAAAGAACGTTTTGCATATACATTGTTATTTGAAGCTTTAAAAACCCTTTGAGGGTAGGTGGAAGGCACATACTCTCTCCTAGAAATGAGGGAAGTGAGGTCCATAAGGATGGAAGTGGCTTGCCTAAGGACATACTAATGAAGAGTGGCTCTTCGCACTAAAAACACTAGTCCCTTCTTTACACCAAAGTGTCTTGACACTTGTAATATTTTGTAATGTAATATTTTACTTGACACGGTAAATGTAATTTAATATTTTGGTGATGATTAGGAAAAACCTTCAGAATTTTACATTGCCTAAAAGTGATCATTATGGCATTCTTTTGATACAGGA